GGCTGTGGGCGGGGCTCGGCACAAGGACTTCTCTCTCGCCCTGAGGACTAATGCTGTTTTCTCTGCGTTCTTGAGAGGCTGGGATCATGTCAGTCTTAGGGACAAAGGTCCGCTTGTTTTAATATAAACCTCACAGACTGGTGGGAAAAGTACCCACCTCAAGATTCAAATATAGATATGAGACGAACAATAATGATTAATATGGATGAAACATTCATATATTACAAGGATTGGACTGGGTTTTAATATGTGGGCCTCTCTTCTTTCTTTCTTCTTCTTTTTTTTCTTTTTGAGTCAGAGTCTCATTTTGTCGCCCAGCCTGGAGTACAGTGGCATGCTCACGGCCACCGCAGCCTCGACCAGCTGGGCTCAGGTGATCCTTCCGTCTCAGCCTTCCAGGTAGCCGGAATTACAGACATGCGCCACCAAGCCTGGCTCATTTTTTAGTTATTGTACAGACTTAGTCTCGCCATGTTGGCCGGACTGGTCTTGAACCCCTGGACTCAGGCAATCCTCTCGCCTCCAACTCCCAAAGTGCTGGGATTACAGGCGTGAGCCACCATGCCCAGCTTGTTGGCCTCTCTTCTTAGCAATCTCGAATACGACGTAGTTACTATAATATTTTAATCCTTTAATCCTTCTTAGAATGTGATACTGGATAGGAATCTTAACTGTTTTGAGGACTGAGTTCTGGAGAAGGTGGTGAGATGAATGTCTAGAGAGCTGGAAGCATGGAGGGTGGAGGGGAGGGGTGGGAAGGGTAATGTGGTCAGATTGAGGAGGATGAAGGAGAATGGAGGGGACCAGAGAAGGAAGGGGTAAAAAGGGAAGCTGCATTTCACTTACGGATGTGATATAAAGTAGAAAACTGGTATTTTTAACAAGCTCTGAGACATCCAACTATAGATTTTCTTTTCATCCAATCTTCTTTATCTATTTATTCCAATTGTGGGAAAACATTTTTGTGATTTTTAGTTATTGGCTTTAGAGACTGTGGCCCATTTTTCTGAATATTTTTAGCATTTGAAGATGGATTTGCTTTTTTGAAATGGCGAAAAGACATTTGGACTCAGGTTTGTTGAACTAGCTGGGTAATAACCTATACTTGATACTTTTTGACCAAATATATTTTGTAACCATTAAGACATAAGACTGATGGTCCTTTATGGCCAGAAAACTTACATAAATGGTGTTTTCAGTGAGGAGTCCCGAGAATGCTCTGAGAGGGGATGACCCTGTGGGAAGGTGCTAAGAGTGTCACTTTGATGACAGTTCTCACTTTATAGTCCCAGCTAACAGGTTCCTTCTCAATGTCTTCCCCATTCCTCACCCCGGATAAGGGAACCAGAGAGAGGTAAAGCTAGTAATCAGGGATCATTTCCTCCACTGCTTTCAGGCACTGGGTTAGGATATTTTGATTGAATAACTGTTACTACATGAATTCCAATATTCACAACTTGATATTTTCCAGACGAATGGAATCCTTCAGTGAATGACATGCTTCACTTCATACGCATATGGAGATATTTTTAAATGATCTTTCATAAGTTTTTAACCTTTTCAAGCTTGTCAGAGTGGTTAAACATCACAAAAACCATGTATGGAAGTCAGATCTATTAGGATTCATGTGTTAAGTGCTTTCTAAATTCCATTTGAAATATGAAATTCAAAGCAAGTAGACTTCTTATGAGATAGCTAATGTACTAAATATAAATGACTTGAATTTTTTGTTTGAAATCATGGCACCATAGAGGAAATGAAAATAAAGTGCTCAACTTGTTTTACAAGCGACAGAGTAATTTGTGTAATTTCTAATACAGTCTTCTTCCCTAATATATTCAAGTGGAAACTTGATTAAAACATACAAATTGCTAGAGAGACTTGGAAAATTTGATCTAATTGGAATGCAATGAATATATATTTTGCCCAAGAAAGAACAAGAATATTTTTGTAGTTTTGAAAGTATTATATACTACTTATCAATAACTTGGAAATTATTTTAAAAAATAAAGTCACCAAGAATGTTATTGCCCAACAGAGTGTCTTAGTATGTTTGGCTGCTGTAACAAAATACCATAGACTGGTTAGCTTATAAATTATAGAAATGTGTTTCTCTCAGTTCTGGAGGCTGGGAAGTCTACGAACAAAGCACTGGCAGATTTGGTGCCTTGAGAGGGCCTGCTTTCTGGTTGATGGCACTTTTTTCCTGTATCTTCACATAGTGAAAGGGGAAAGGCAATTCTCTGGGCTCTTTTACAGGGGAATTTATCACTTCCCAAAGGCCCCATCACCTAATAACATCACACTGGTGATGAGGTTTCAAAATATGAATTTTAGGAAGACGTAAGCATTCAAACCATGACAGAAAGCCACTATTAATATTTTTAAAGATATTTTAGTATTCTTATGTACATGTTAAATACTCAAGATTATATAATCTATATAATTTTATACCCTGCCCTTCTTCACTTGATATTTTTAAATGTTTTCCTCATATGTTCTCAAATTATTAAAAACTCTAATATCATTTTTGATGGTACAGAATATTGTCATTCTGTGGATTCAAGACAATTCAACAAGGACTTGTTGAGTACCTACTACATATGTACTGGGGACACTCTGCTCTATTGTAAACAACATTGCAGTTTCTGCCATGATAAAACTTACATATCCTGCTGCACATATCCTGCTGCTTGCTTAGGCACTCCCCTTTAATTAGACATTAAGACGATTCCCAATTGATCACTATATAATGTTGAGATGAAAGATTTAGAGTATTGGCTGAGTACAGGTTCTGGAATCACTCAAAGATCAGAATTCTGCCTCTTCCAATTATGTAACTATGTAACCTTTCTAAGCCCTAGCCTTTCCAACTGGGCTGTGGGGATAATGGTGCCTACCTTAGAGAGTTACTGTGCAGATTAAATGAGATAATTAATGTAAAACACTTTCCACAGTGTACTAAGAGCTTGATTACTATGGTTAGTAGTAGTAACAGTAGTAATAATAATATTCTCTCTGTGCATGAAGTTTAATTGACATTTTGATGTATCTTAATTTGTTATAACTACAGTTACTTTTTTTTTTTTTAAAGAAACTGCTTTCATTTAATATCAAATGGAAGGAGTTACAAATTACATAGTATTATAGGCTTATCTCTGTGTTAAAAATCCCTAAAATTTTCCACTAAGAGTGTCCTGGGTATTCCAGAATAGACTTTATTGTAGCTCCAAGAGCAATAATTCTTTCTGAGGGAATTTATTAAGTGTCTCATAGTAATGATAGAATATTGGTTTAGTATGTTTTTTTTTTCAGCATGCAACTGCCATGGCCATGCCATCGACTGTTACTATGATCCAAATGTGGAGCAACAGCAGGCAAGCTTGAATATCCAAGGCATCTATGCAGGTGGAGGGGTCTGCATTGATTGTCAGGTGAGGCACTATTTAAACCAAAGTGAATGTGTGGTCACAAAGAATGAGCAGTCAGTAAGCTCTGCTCCTGAAAAATATCAAGAAAGTGACGGGCAATTGAAAGTGTTTTCTGAAGCCACTTCTCCACTTTTGTTCACACAAGGCCTTATTAGCTTTAGGGATTGCAAAAAACCCCCCAAAACAGACTGAGGCATGTTTAAACAAACTCCTTTGATTAAGTTCTTCATGTACCTCTTTGCCTAACCAGAAGGAAGAATTCATGGCATTATCACTGGCTGCTCGCCATCTAGAAAAACTCAAAGATAGGAGGGCAAATAGGCATCAGCTTCATGGCTGACCCTACATCCTGATTTCAGACAGATCCTGAATCTAGACTCAGTGCAGAAGTACATCTTAATCAAGTTAATAATGTCTACTATGTGGCATGCACATAGTAGTTACTCAACAAACACTTGTTGGATTGACTTGAATCCGTAGGATGACAATACTCTGTGCCACCAAAAATGGTATCAGAGTCTTTAATGTTAAAGATACCAAATATGAAACACTGATTTTTCATTCCTTCTGCAGGACAACTGATTTTACTAGAATTTAGTTAAGAGGGGTTTTTGGCAGAGAAGGACATAAGTATACCTGCACTGAGATACTCATTTAAAATCCTGTAAAATGTTTATGAATTTGGTGTAAATTGTTGCTCTTTCTTGTGTACTTTTAGAGGATTTTTAAAACTTATTTTATTTTAAAGATGTGGGGTACAATTCAGGATTAGGCATACAAGTGGACGTAGTACAGGTAAAGTTTGGGCCTCCCTTCGGCCCCCACTTTGCCTGGTTTGAGATCAGGTAGCTTTATTGATGCTGTGTTTCCCCCACTCCCCCGGCCCCACCCCGGCAGTATCTTACTACTGCCAATCCTTTGTTTACAGTATTATGGTAAATGTTCAGAGTCTGCTTATGAGTGAGAACATGTACTCTGTTCTTTGTTTCTGTGACAGATCACTGAGTATGATAGACTCTAAATCCATTCAAGTTGCTGTGAAGCCTATGTTTGTCCTTTATGGCTGCATGTATTCCATTGTGTATAGGTACCAAATTTTTTTTTATCCAGTCCAATTTCGATGGTCAGCATGGTTAGTTCCGTGTTTTTGCTATTGTGAATAGTGCTGCAATAAACATATACGTGCAAGTATTTTTTTGTGTGTGTGGAATGATTTGAGTTCCTCCGGGTATATTCTCAGTAGGGGGATTGCTGGAGCATATGGAAGGTCAATTTCTAGTTCTTTTAGAAATTTCTGCACTGTTTTCCATCGAGGTTGAACTAGTTTGCACTCTCACCAGCCGTGTAGAAGCGTTCTCTTTTTTCCACATCCTTGCCAGCATTTGTTGTTATTTGTTTTATTAATGATGGCCATTCTTACTGGGGTTAGGTGGTATCTCAGTGTGGTTTTGATTTGCATTTTTCTGACGATTAGTGAGGCTGAGCACTTTTTCATGTGTCTGTTGGCTGCCATATATTTTCATTGGAGAAGGGTCTATTCATATCTTTTGCCCACTTTTTAATAGGACTATTTGTTTTTTTACTTTCAGCATGTTTGAGTTCCTTGGAGATCCTGGATGTCAGGCCTTTGTCAGATATACAGATGGCAAATATTTTTTCCCATTCTGTGGGCTGTCTCCCTGCTTGATGGTTTCTTTTGCTTTGCAGAAGCCTTTCAGTTTAGTGAGGTTCCACTTGTCTATCTGATCTCTTATGGCATGGACACCTGGGGTTTTGATCAGGAATTGGTTGCCTACTCAAGTTTCTGTAAGGGTATTTTCTGCATTTTCTAAGGTTCTTATAGTTTGAGGTTTTATGTTTAGGTCTTTGACACAGAGTTGATTTTTGTGTATGGTGATAGGTAGGGGTCCTGTTTCAATCTTCTGCATGTGGCAGCCAGTTTTCCCAGCACCGTTACTGAATAGGTTCTCCTCTCCCCAGTGTTTGTTGGTGGAGGATTTGTCGAAGATGAGTTGGTTGAGAAATTGAGGTTTTGCTTCCAGAATCTCTATCCATTCTCTATCTATTCCATTGATCCATATACCTGTTCTTGTACCAATACCAGGCTGTTTTGATTATTGTAGCTTAAAGTTTAAAGTCTGGAAGTGTGATACCTCTTACTTTGTTTCTTTTGCTAAGGATTATTCTGGCTATTAGTAGTAATTTATGTTTCCATATGAATTTCTGCATTGTCATCTCCAGGTATGAGAAGAATGATGTTGGTAATTTAATGGGTATTGTGTTGAATCTATAGATTGCCTTTGGAAGGATGGACATCTTAACAATGTTGATTCTTCCTATCCATGAGCATGGAATATTTTTCCATTTGTTTGTGTCTTCTTGGATTTCTTTGAGCAGTGTTTTGTAGTTTTCATTGTAAAGGACTTTCATTTCTCTGATTAGGAAGATGTCATGGTATTTCATTTTTTTGTATAGCTCTTGTGAATGGGATTGTGCTTTTTATTTGGTTCTCTGCCTATTTGTTGTTGATGTAAAAGAATGCGGCTGTCTTTTACACATTTATTTTGTACCCCACGACTTTGCCAAAGTCCTTTATCAGTGCAAGGAGGTTTTTGACAGATTCTCTTGGATTTTTGAGGTTTAGGATATCATCAGTAAAACTTAAGTTCTTTTTCTATTTGGATACCCCTGATTTCCTTCTCTTGTCTGATTGCTATTGCTAGGACTTTCAACACAATGTTGAACAGGAGGGGTGAGAGTAGGCAGCCTTGTCTTGTTCTGGTTTTCAGGGGAGATGTTTCCAGTTTCTGTCTGTTTAGCAATATGCTGGTTGTAGGTTTATCATAGATGGTGCTTAGTATTTTGAGGTATGTTCCTTCTATGCCTACTTGTTTGAGGGTTTTTATCAAGAAGGGATGCTGGATTTTGTCAAAAGCTTTTTCTGCATCAAATGATATAATCATGTGGTTTTTGTTTTTACATCTGTTGATGTATTTAATTACATTTATGGCCTTGTGGATGTCGAACCAGCCCTACATCCCGGGGTTGAAACCTGCTCATAGGAGATGATTTTTGAGATGTGTTGTTGGATTCAATTTTCTAGAATCTTGTTGAGAATTTTTGTATCTATGTTAATTAGGGATATTGGCCTGTAGTTCTTTATTTTTGTTGGAGCTTTACCCAGTTTGGGTATCAGTGTGATGTTAGCTTTGTAAAATGATTTGGGGAGAATTTTATCTTTCTCAATTGCCTGGAATACTTTCAGTAGAATTTGTATTAGATCTTCCTTGTATGTTTTGTAGAATTCCACTGGAAAGTCATCTGGTCCAGGGCCTTTTTTTTTTGTAGATAGTTTTCTTATAGTGGAGTCAATTTCCTGGGTTGTTATTGATCTATTTAGTGTCTCAATGTCTTCTTGTTTCAACCTTGGGAGGTTGTGTGATGTTATTTAGGTTATCAAGTTTGTTTCCATTCAGGTGTGCCTAGTAGTCTCTGATAATCTTTTGTATTTCTTCAGGATCAGTTGTGATTTGATCTGTTGCATTTCTGATTGTGTTTATTTGGGCTTTTTTCTCTTTTTCTTGGTCATTCTGACTAGGAGTCTACCAATCTTGTTTATTCTTTTGAAGAACCAGCTTTTTGTTTTGTTGATGTTTTTTCTATGATATTTTTGTCTTCTATGTCTCATATTTGGGCTTTTACTTTGCTCATTTGGATTCTTCTGCTAAAGTTAGGGTTCTGGTGGTTTTATCTTTCCAGCTCCATTAGGTGATTTGGTAGGCTATTAACTTGTGATCTTTCCATTTTCTTGATGTTTGTTCATAAAGATATCAGTTCCCCTTTTAGAACTGTTTTCATGGCATCCCAAAGGTTTTGGTAAGATGTTTCTTTGTTTTCATTTGTTTCCAGGAATCTTTAAATTTCTGTTTTGATTTCTGTGTTGACCCAGTAATCATTCAGCATCATGCTGCTTAATCTCCATGTCTTTGTGGGTTTTGGGGGAATTTTGTTGGTGTTGATATTTATTTTTATTTCACTGTGGTCTGAGAAGGTGCATGGCAGTATTTCGATCTTAGGAAATTTTTTGTGCTTGATTTATGACCAAGAATGTGACTGATCTTGGAGTATGTTCCATGTGGTGATGAGTAGGGTGCATGTTCTGTGGTTATTGGATGAAGTGTTCTGTAGGTATCAATTAAGTCCATTTGGTTAAGTGTCAAGTTGAAGTTTCAGATTTCTTTGTTGATTTTTTGCCTCAATGATCTACCTAGGGTTGTTAGTGGGATATTTAAGTCCAAGCTATAATAGTGTTATTGTCAAAATATATTTTTAGCTTATCTAGTAGTTGCTTTATAAATGTTGGTTCTCCTGTGTTGGGTGCATATACGTATGTTTAGGATGGATATTTCTTGTTGATGGAGTGAACCTTTTATCATTTTGTAGTATCCCTTTGTATCATTTTAATTTTTTGATAGCTTAAAGGTTGTTTTCTCTGATATTAAGATCATGGCTCCTGCCTTCTTTTGTGATTCATTTGCCTGGAAATTTATTTTCCATCTTCTATCTTTGGGTCTGTGTGTAAACCCCTGTGGTGAGATAAGATTCCTGGATACAGCAAATTATTGGTTCATGGTTTTTTTAATCCAGTTTACCATTCTGTGTCTTTTCAGTGGTGCATTTGGTCCATTTACATTCAGGCTGATTATTGAAATGTGATTGCTTATCCCTGTCATGAGGTACTTAGAGAGTTTTTTCTTTGTTTGTTTTTTGTTTTCTTTCAACTTTGGGGTTGATGTATGTGTGTGTTTTCAAGTTTGCAGTCACGATGTCTTCTCTCTTGATTTCATGTTCTCCTGTTCTCTTGGGAAGTGCCTGGTCATTCTTTTTTTCTTTCTTCTGTACTTAATATCTTTTTAAGTGTCTGCTGTAGAGCTGGTCTGGAAGCTGCATAATCTCCTAGGGATTGGATGTCTGGAAAGTATTTTAATTCTCTATCACTGATG